TCAAATACATCCATTGAATCTATACCCGTATATTTTTGGTTAAAATAAAAGTACACAACATTATCTAACATTGACCTGTTTGAAAAATTAAGGCTGTCAAATACTACAATCAACTTACTTCCTTCATACCACCTTTTACATGGGTGACTATAGAAATGTTCATCTTTAGTATTTAAGTCAATCTTTGGGTTATTAAAATTAAAAAAAGAAAACTCTAATCGAATATTTTGAACATTGGTGAGTATTCCGGAGTAAATTGAACCACTCATTCCGGAGTAAACTGAACCAGTGATTCCGGAGCAAACTGAACCACTTTGAGAAGTTGATTTGATAGTTATATTGGAGTAAAATAATACTCTGATATGGCCAATCAAATAATATCGATGAATAAGTTAAAGCAGTTTTTAAAGCTTAGTTTAAAAGGTCATTCATACAGGCAGATCAGTGAGATGACTGGCATGTCTAGGAATACCATCAATAAGTATAAGGATGTCTTAGACAAACATCCATTATCGTATAAAGAGTTAATACAGCTCAGCGACAAGGAGCTATATTCTATAGTCTATCCGCCATCGGATGACAAGCCTACGCATGATGAGTTATATGGGTTATTTCCCCAGATGGATATCCAGTTATCGAGAATTGGTGTGACCAAGTTTATGCTATGGGAACAGTATAAAAAAAGCTATCCAGATGGTGTGCAGTATTCTCAATTTTGCGAACATTATCGTAGATATCACAAAAGCCAGCAACTGTCCTATGTATTTGAACATAAGGCGGCAGACAAGTTGATGGTAGACTTCGCAGGTAAGAAGCTTCATATAGTAGATGCCGATACAGGGGAAGTGAGTGCTGTTGAGTTTTTTGTAGCGATATTGCCCTGTAGCCAGTATACCTATGCAGAAGCATGTATGAGTCAAAAGACGCCTGATTTTCTAGGCTGTATCGGCCGAGCATTGCATGATATAGGTGGTGTACCTAATGCCATAGTGACCGATAATCTAAAACCTGCAGTAACCAAAGCCAGTAAATTTGATCCTGAGATTAATCATAGTATGGCAGATTTTGCGACACATTATGGTACTGTGATACTCCCTACACGAGCTAGAAAGCCCAAGGATAAAGCCTTAGTAGAATCTGCTGTCAACATCCTTTATACGCGCGTCTATGCGCCATTACATGACAAGGTATTTCATACGCTCAAAGACCTGAACGTTGCCGTACGGACACTGATTGACAAGCATAATCAAATGCTCTTCCAAGGTAAAACTTTTAGTCGTCGTCAACAATTTGACAACATAGAAAAGGATTTGCTCAAAGCATTACCGGGTACGATTTTTGAACTTAAACAATATAGAGAAGCTACCGTACACCCTAATTGTCACGTAGTACTCTCAGAAGATAAACACCATTATTCAGTACCCTATCAATATGTTGGTCAAAAAGTACAAGTTGGTTATACCAATCATTCGGTAGAGATTTATCATAAATATGAGCGCATTGCGATACATCAACGCAATCGGGTGCAGTATAAATATACCACTAATGCTTCACATTTGCATCCCAAACATCAGTATTATAAGCGATGGAGTGAAGGCTTCTTTGTGGATGAAGGAATAAAAATAGGACCTGATACCCATCAGCTTGTCGAGCAGATATTTCACCAGTGTAAACACCCCGAACAAGGGTACAAGACTTGCCAGGGAGTACTCCAGTTAGCAAAAAAGTATGGTAATGACAAGATCGAGGAGGCATCCCATATATGCCTTCAATACGAATTTGTATCTTATAGAAAGCTTGAGTATATCTTGTCACTCCATAATTTTGACCACCTTACAGATGATGCAGAAGGTCAATCAAACATAATACCCAATCATGAAAATATCCGGGGACAATCTTATTATCAGTAAACAAACAAACAAATATATGAATCATCAAAGTACTTTAGACACCATGCGGTCACTCCGCCTTACGGGTATGGCAGATCGCTATGCAGCCATCATGGACCTGCCATTACACCAACATCCTGGCGCTGATATTATATTGGCACAACTCATTGAAGCCGAGTATTTATATCGTAACAATCGTAAAATGCTCACTGCCGTCAAGAATGCAAAGTTCAGATATCAGGCCACTCTCAATGATATCATCTGCACACCCGAAAGAAATATCACTAAAGAACTCCTAGCATCTGTGGCAGATTGTTCCTTTATTGACCGCGGCGAAAACATCATCATCACTGGAGCTACAGGGTGTGGCAAGAGCTATCTGGCTTCCGCTATAGGTTATCAGGCATGCACAAAAGGTAAAAAAGTAGCTTACTACTCTTTACCTAAACTTCTCAGTAAACTTAAATCAGATAAGCTCGATGGCGGCTTCCGCAAAGAAATGGAACGCTTAGAAAATAAAAATCTGCTTATCCTCGATGACTGGGGACTCACACCCCTGGATACAATGGCTCGTCTGGCATTGTTGCAAATTATAGAAGACAGACATAATAAATATGCAACTATCATTACGTCCCAGCTACCTGTATCAGAGTGGCATCAATACATTAACGAAAATACCATTGCAGATGCAATATTGGATAGAATTATCCATCAGGCACACAGGATTGAAATGACTGGAGAATCCATGCGTAAAATCAACAAACTAAAATCACTTTAATACCTGAACTTATTTACCTTTGCACTGCAAAACCTGTCGAAGACGAAAGAGTCATCCGACGAAAAAGTTCAGGATCTTGGGGCATTTAGCCCCTGCGATCCTGTGCAAAACCTGTCTCTGATTCAAGATGTAACCTCTGAAAAAGTAATGGGCTAGTACTTAGTTTTTATTTTTTTAAACCACGTCAAATCACAAAACAAAGTGGTTCAGTTTCGACCGGAATAGGTGGTTCAGTTTGACCGGAATATACATCCAAAACTTAAAAAAATTAAATTCTTTGAAATTTTGAAATAAAAATCTTGTTTACGTATAAAATAAATACAATTTACGTACAATATATAAACACATGGATGCTAAACTTACTCTTTCACTTGACAATGATGTCATCAATCAGGCAAAACTTTTTGCTGAGAAAAACAATATTAGCTTATCTCGCCTTACAGAATTTCTTTATCGTAAGCTTTCTAATAATACTTACTCAAATCTAGAAGACTTACCTATTT